CAATGAGGCGCCTCTCTCTCGGGCTGTGCGGGGACCTGTTTGTACCCATTGTCACGCTGGAGGTGGAGAAAGGGCGGGTGGCAGGGACTGCGGGCCTGGAGGTGGGGAAGGCGAGGAGAGGGCTCCGGAGGTCTGGGCAGAAACGGCCTTGGGGCCGCGGGGCGCGTGGGGCTGGGGCCGAGGAAGGTTCTCCCAGGAACTGGGTCGCGGCCCTGCGCGGGGCTTCTGCAAACCGTCGGGCTGCGCGGCCGCCCCCACCCCGGGGACCTCGCGGCGGGGGCGCAGAGCACGTCGCGGGGCCGGCCGGGGGCACACGCGGCCTCCGCGTGTTCTGGACGAGATGGCCGGGTCAGGCCGGGCCGAGGCCGGGGGCAGACCACGTTCGCAGTTCGACCCTCCCCTCTGCAACCAAGCGCACTGACTCCCAGAGTCGGCCGGTTAGGAGGGGACAGGAGGAGGGCAAAGAGAAAAGGAGACCGAGAAACTGAAGTTCGAAGGGCGGGGACCAAGTCTTCGCCCAGCGGGGGCCACTGTGGCCTAGGGGCCCGCTGGTGAGGGCCAGCGCGTCCTTCTGTCCTTTTAGGACAGTCATTTGACTGCGAGAGGGAAGCGCCTTCCCATTCCTGGTTCTCCTGGGGACAGCTCGAGGGGTTGGGGCAGTGACCGGTGCTTCCTCCCGTTCTGTTCAGGACTAGGCTGATCTGTTCAGACCTTGAGGGCCTGCAGGCTGGCGCGACGTGGACGCACCGCGGAGATCTGGTGACACTCAGCTTCAATATCCTGCGTGGACTGCCCTTTGGAAGGGGAGGCGGAAGTACCTCCAGCTCCAGCGGAGCCCTGTTCCCCTCCCCTTATTGCTCCCTCCCCGAATTCTCGTGCCTGTCACCCCAACCATCGCTGCCATCCCCTCCTGGACAGGAACCCCCCTGGGTGGCCGGGACTGTGCCATTTTTGTTCCTGTGTTTCAGTGCAGGCCAACAAGACGGCGTGGACGTTGACTGAATGAACAAGTAAAATCATAAATTGCTTGCTTCCAGCTCCATTTCGTTCAGGAATTAAATTCAAGCTCTCTGTTTTGGGAAGAATAGAAGAGGCCACAAATAGGCCATGGAAGAGGCTCCACAGAGGCTCCACGGGAAGCCTTTCAGTGTATACTGTCGTTATTATATTATGTCACTTTTTTCTCCAACTTAACACTTTCTAAAACCTACATCAGTATTCTATAAACTATATTCCTTTGCAATTTCTATTTTTAAAAAATGTATATATGTCAAGGCCAGCAGGTGGCGTGGTGGTTGGGGAGGTGGACTCCCACAAAGCTGACTGCACTTAAAGTCCCAGACCTGGTGGCTTGAAAATCACACCAGGCACGTGTGGCTCTGTGCAGAGACTCTCAGGAGGAGACTAGACAATAAGAGACCGAGAGACCAGCGGTTGGGATAATGGCTATGTCGCTGGACTCCCACGTATTCTACCACAGCTCGAATCCTGGACCGGGTGTCTTAAATTTAGGCCAGGTGCGTGTGCGTGTGTGCCCAAGATCCCAAGAGAATGAAGGAGAAGGGATTGTGGTGTGGCCTTCCCCCCTGGGGGGTGATTTCTCATTTTCTATCTTTCTGTCTCTCTCTGTCTTTCTGGCAAGTGCACATGCCCTATAGCAAAAACCTCTCCAAAAAAAGAAAAAAAAAAATGGGAAGAAAAAGACAAGAACGGACTGCAGCATGGCTATCCCTGGGAGTGAGTTCTCACTTTCCCTCTGTCGCTCTCTGGCGAGTTCCCGTGCCCTATGGCACACACAAAAAATATACATGTCAAAAAACACTTTTGAAGGCCTTGGGAAAAAGAAGTTCTATATTGCTAAAGATAAGTATTTTTAAAACTAATTTTAAATATGCAAGGCTAATTCCTTCAAACAAACAGCAAACATTTGTTTTCATTTCAGTTCAGCTAAGGGTAAGCTTTTTACTACACGGCCTCTTATTTAGACTGCTTTCTATTACCTAGAAGGGTTATATGCTGGATTTTATTGCCTGAGATCTTAAATTTATATATTGCCTGCCAGCATGAGATTTTTTTAAAAAATCCATCATTTCAAAACATTACATTTAACCTTAAGTTACAAATACCGTTACGTGTGCTGTTGCTTTTCAAGTAAGCTCCTATTCGTGATGACCCAGGACTTCAAGTGGATTCTTCTGATGGCTCGGTTGCTGTGCAGAACTAGGAAGGGGTTAGAACTGAACGGAATCAGTATCTTTCTTCTGTGAGATTAGCATGCGTCTCCGATTACTATGTGTTATGGTAAAGACCTTGCATTGGACCCAATTCACTATCCCATAGGGATCATGCGCTCACAGGAGACAGAGAGATATAAAGAAGTCACCCTGGAGGGGGATGGCCATGCCGTAATCCCTTCTCCTCCACTCTCCTCTCGGGATTTTAGGCATGCACATACATGCATCCAGTGTGATTTTTCAAGCCATTGGGTCCAGGACTTGAACTGCAGTCAGCCATGTGGGAATCCAGCACCTTAACCACCACACCACCCACTGGCTCCCTGGCAGTTACATTTTTATAAATTTAACAGAAAGGTTAGGTAAGGTGGGAGGCACACAGCTGTGATCGCTTTGCTGCGGAAGTCTTAAGAGGGGCGCTCCAGGGCTCCACGACTGCCACATGTTGCATTCACGTCTGGATGCACATTCTGTGGGTCTGTTCCTCACGTTCATAAAGACTATGAACAACTGTGCTATGGAGTAAGGATTCACGATAAGAGTATATTACACTCAACCAACAGGAGAACAATATGTCTTAACGAACGTGTAGTAAACATCCCTATCTGTGTATCTGTGGGCAAGCTTGCCCACTGCCGGGTTGCCCTGACGATGTCTTCTGTATGGACACTCAGCCCTGCTCTCTGCCAGTTCATCAACTGTCCGACTAGCTTGGCCCACGTGAAAGGGTTCCCGTCAATTCTGGATGGTAGGTTTAGAACCACTGGCCACATGTGAGGAGAGTAATGGTGTGAGTTTCTGCTTGGAATTCTGAAGGCTTGTGGAGGTAGGACCAGATTAAACAGTTCCAATTCTGCGACTGTAGAAGCCATTGACTACTTGGTGTCAACGCAGCATGTCTCTGTTCACTGTATTTAGGACAGGGGAGAAGAACTGATTCGATGCTCTCTTGTTAGTATTAAAACAGCCCCTTGAAATCTTACCTGAATATTATCGTCTACTTAGAGCTGTTTGCCTCCATTTTTTGTTGTATCTATTTCAAGTATACCACATGATTTTTTTTTTTGGGGGGGGGAGCGGTTTTTTTTACAGGGTACTTGTTCTCACCAGACAGGCAGAGAGAGAGAGAGACAGAGAGTGAGAAATCACCCCCCCAGGGGGGATGGCCATGCCGCAATCCCTCTCCTCCATTCTCCTCTCCGGTTTTGGGCATGCACGCACACACGGCAAGCGTGAGTTTTAAGCCACCTGGTCCAGGACGCGAACCGCAGTCGACTACATGGGAGTCCAGCGACATAGCCATTACGCTAACTGCTGGTCCTTACAACATGATGTTTTGGTACACTAGAGTAAATTGATGACTACAGATTAACATGTTCATTACTTTACCATCTACTTCTGTGTGTGGAAAGAGCACCTGAAATCTACTTTGGGTCAGCTCTGCGCCTAGTGCTCAAGGCCGCTGGCTCTCACATGTCTGGCTGGACTCTGTAGCTCACAAAGCATACCAGGGTCATGTGTGTGTGTGCACCAGATTCCTAACGGAGGGAGCGGTGGAGGCAAAGGGATTCCAGTGTGATCACTCCCGTGAGAGTGTATTCTCATCCTTTTTCTATTCCTGTCTCTCTGGTGAACACAAGCACTATCTAGCAAAAGCAAAACAAAAATCCTACTCTCTAACCAATAAGTGCTCAGCATACAATATAATAAACTATAGGCCTTATGTCGTATATTAGAGCTGCAAATTTATTCATCCTACATAAACGTGTACCCTTTTATCTACATCCCCCACCCCATCCCATCTCTAGGAACCACTGTTCTATTCGCTTTCTATATATTTGACATTTTTAGAGTCTGTGTATGTGAGATCAATTAGTATTTGTCTTTTAGGGCCAGCAGGTGGCGTAATGGTTACATCGCTGGACTCCCATGCAGTCAACCGCGGTTTGAGTCCTGGACCCAGTGACTTAAAACTTATGTCAGGTGCGTGTGCATGCATGCCCAAGATCCCGAGAGGAGAATGGAGGAGAAGGGATTGCGGTGTGGCCACCCCCCCTGGGGTAATTTCTTACTTTCTGTCTCTCTGTCTCTCTCTGTCACTCTGGTGAGCACATGTGCCCTATAACAAAAATCTCTCTAAAAAAGCAAAAGAGAAGTATTTGTCTTTCTGTTTCTGACTTATTTTACTTAAATAATGTCCTCCAATGTATGTGTACACACAATACACATAGTATAAGTATCATATATAATATTACATATCATATACATACACATATATGTACTATATATAATGTTCTGAATATATCATGACTTGAACATGTATATACCTATATAGTATACATGAAAGGGTCTTCAAAAAGTTCATAAGAAGATTTTATTGTAGGGGCCGGCAATGGCGTGGTGGCTAAAGGCACTGGACACCCACATGGCCGACTGTGGTTCAAGTCCTGGACCTGGTGACGTGTTTTCTCACTTTCCCTCTCTCTGTTTCTCTGTCTCTCTTTGATTGAACTGGAAAATAATAATAATAATAAATAAAGTTAAATAAAATAATTCTTTAAAAAAAAGTTTTTATTATTAAAAAAAAAAAAACTGGACCAGTCAGTGGCATGGTGGTTAAGGCAGCTGGATCCCACATGGCCGACTGCAGTTGGAGTCCTAGATCTGGTGCCCCGAGGAGCACATTGTGTACATGTGCCCAAAATCTCAAGGGGAGAATGGAGGAGTAGGGATTTCAGCAGGGCCATGTCCCATGGCGGGTGCTATTCATTTTCCCTCCCCTCTTTCTGGTAAGCATGCATCCTCTAATAAAAACAAACAAACAAAAAACTATATAGATTTTGATTCTTTTTGCACTAAAATAGACTCATACTGTAATTCCACGCTTCCATGAGCGTGTTGAAGTATGTTCAGACGTATGTGGGCGCGTGTGTTTGTGTGTTCACATTTCTCCGTCGATGGACACTAGGCTGCCCGTCCTGGCCGCCATGAGCAATGCTGTGTGTCCCTACAAGGCACTGGTTCCCTCTGCTCTGGGTGTGTACCAGCTGGGGGACTGCTAACTTCTATGGCGGGTCGGTTTTACATTGTTTCCTTACAAATTTTAATTAATTTATTGACTTCTTTCATGAGAACGAGAGGCAGAGAGAGAGAAAGGAGCACACCACATGAACGCTCAGGCTGTGATCCCTGCCCACAGCTGTCCCTGCTGCCAGGACCACATGCAAGTGCTAGTGTAAGGTCGAGGGCACCTGGTGAGGCCCGATCTAGGCACGCAGCCTCGAGGGCACCCGGTGAGGCCAGATCTAGGCACGCAGCCTCGAGGGCACCCGGTGAGGCCAGACCTAGGCACGCAGCCTCTCTGGAGCAGCCTCGGCGCCCCCCGCCAGCCCTGTCGGTGAGTG